GTGGCAGAGGAAGGGCTGTGGAGCCTCGCAGGGCAGGGAGGGGCGGGGCAGGGGGGCAGCGAGCGGTGCGCAGCTCGGCTCTGTGAGGCGCCGTCGGCAGAGCCGCGCCGCGCCCAGCGCTAGTTAAGTGAGAAGGAAAAATAACGTCTGTTAGGTGCCTTCTGCAAATGGCCATGTTGTGCCTAGGCTTGTGAGTTGCCTCTGAAGCGCTTAGGTAAGCTTCCTTCCACGTTAAATTTCTCCTTTGCTCACCTTGGGAATATAGTACCATGAAGATCAAGAGTTCAGAAGGAGGAAATGGCAATAAAGAAATACATTCCCCAGTATTTTGAGTTTTATTGTATGTCTTTTGAAATGGTTTTGCTGATAAGATTTTTGGCCATATGTTATATCCCAAACTTGAATAGTGGCTGATTGAAAAATCTGTACTTATTACTTTTCACTATTTTATATTTCATATTAGAACTGAGTGGTTTTTTGGGGACGCAGTCATCAAAAATGTGCATTTGCTTACTTAGTAATCATTTGCACTGTATTCTCTACTGAATAGTTTCAGTTGGGAACATTTTTGGAGACGCAGGATGGCCGGCTCACACCGCTTCCCAAAAAGAATCTGCTTTTCATCTGTTTTGGGAGCATTCAGTTATTAGAGATCTGGGAGCAGATTTTTGCATTTGGCACAGAAGCGTTGGAGAGCATTTAAACTGGTAGGCTGTTCTGGAGACAAAAGATATTTCTGTTTGTGTGCACACTGCTATTCATTTTTTTTCCTGTTCAGACTGTTTCACTTTGCATAATAATACAACGGCATATAGGCTGAGGTGTCCAGATGGAGAAGCATGCTAACTAACTGAGCTGGATAATCAGTTTTTCTTTATCTGTACAGGTCACTGTATATTTAGATACTATATAAAAAAAAAACAGGAAAGAACCAAGAGCTCTCTCCCCTAACTTACCACGCAACATCGTTAAGTCCTAAAACTGATGGTTAGGATGTATGTGAGATGGGGCATGAGGGTGCTTGTTGCTAACCCATTAATAATTGCATGCTCGTTACTGCTCTTCTACTCTAGAACAGGAAAGACTGATAACATACTTGATAACATACTCTCTTTCCTCCTTTTATATTTCCTGTACTGTAACAGCTGGGGCACTTTCTTCAGAGGCTATATCAGCTTACCCCGTGTTGGGCCCAAGTTACCTTCAGGAAATGTTAGGAGACAGAAACTGATCGAATCGCTTGGACTGAGATAAGTGTAAAGAAAAGTATGTATAGGGATGTTCACTTCTAAATTTTTGTTTCAGGAAAGTTAGTACTTATGAGGAACTGTTCCTGCCATTTCCCTATTTTCTTCCAGGATTATTTGTGATTCCTCTGTTAATTCTTTGAATGGAATGTATTTTACTATTTCAGATCCTTTGAGGAAACTGTTTATTGTTAGAACAGAATTCACTGCGGTTCATTTGCTTGTGAAGTGTCTAAGTTAGATGTTATTAGTTAAATAGTAATAGCTTTTAAAAAAAAAAAAACCTGGAGCAGTTTGCTGGTCTCTTAAATTCTTTTCTTTGTCTGCTTTTGACAGCCTGTTTTTGGACAAATCTTTTATTCTCTTCTAAAGTTAATAGAATGTGCATGGCTGTCCCTAGTGACTGTCCGGATTCTAAAGAAGAAAAGGTAGGTAGTGTAATTCTAAAGAGTCTTGAAATTAGTAAAAGAGAAAAGGTACCTTAGCTGTTGTTGTATACAGCATGACTATATGACATTGCCAGAGCTGGAAGAAGATTTAATTTTTCACATCAATAATTTAACATCTTGAAAATAAGCTTGAAATTTTTCAGAGAATTAAGATTTTTTTCAAAAAAGTGTTTGGCTTCAGATTTGACAAGCAGCTTGCTTAACCTGATTTATTATGCACTGTAGACTTCAATGCAGTAAGGAGGGCAGTCTTATTAATAAATCTGTTATTCCTATAGAATGCTGCTTTTTTTTATGCAAGCCACCAGGAGACACTTTTAGAAAATGTTCGGAGATAATAACTGATAGAACCACTGGAACTGGAGCTGATTGATTCTGTTGCACATGAAGATACAAACAGCATGAAGAAAAGTGTGGAGTCAGACCTAATCATGCATAAAATATGAATTAAATAGAAATACTTATGTGCATATATGCATATATGTAAACATTTTTTTCCTTTACTTGCCATGCATTCAGTTGCCATGCATTTGATTTACAGAGTCTTGAAGATTATGTAAACTGGGATCAGATGTATATGTGTATCTGTTTCATGTTCATGAGAAGAAGCGATAACCCTGATCTCAAATATAACTTCACCACGTACATCTTCATCCTCTATAGTAGAGAGATATTTCAGCAGCATAGTCCAGGAACTACGTCCAGTGCCCTGTTGTTACCTAACATTTACATGGCAGGAACAGCAGTGAGAGGACAATGAAACTAAGGCCTTGTTATCCGTATTGCTGTATAGCCCAATAAAAAGTTTTACCAGCTGAAAACTAATAGATAAGTGGAGGATGACAGCTGGTGACTGAGGGAGACAGTGGCAAGCTAAAACCTGATCAGTCAGAAACAGTCCTGTGCTTTGCCGTCAGTGGTTTACTATACACGCTATGGCAGATGATGAGTTTTGAGGTGGGATAAGCGAACCACTGAGGCTGCTCTCATAGACTAAATGAAGATGAGTGTATGGTTAAAAAGTAGATCTGATGGATATAGTAGGGCTAAATATTGGCGGGACTGATAGGTTAAGTTTGAGAATTTGGAGGAGAACAAGGGGGTTAGTAAAGGGATGTGAAGAAGTCAGCAATGAATCAGAAGATGATTCTGGTAGCAATTCTTTGTCCTAATGTAAGGAAGACACGGTGGTCGGTATCAGTGCTAGGAAAGAGAGGACGAGTTTGGCTGCACAGTGGTGGGAGGCTTGCTAAGATTCAGGCAGCCTAGAAAGTTGAAACAAAGTGAAATATCTGAAAATTCATGGAAGAAAGAGCAGTAAGAGGCATCGCCTGCCGAAGGCAATTAGAGGACCCCTTCACATGCCGTATTTGTAGCTCATTATAGTAAGATCTTGGGGGGAAGCTCTTGTCATACGAGTCTCTTCTGCAGTTACCTGGTCTTAACTGTTAGCTACACCTTGAGATGTTATTGTTGAGTTAGGAGATGGAATTTGATTGTAATAATTAATAGTAATGTTTATAGATCGCCTAACCCAATTCGTGCTGTGACATTAAGTGCATATGTGTGTAAGATATCAGGGAAGCTGAGTATTTAAGGTACGCAGGGAGAGAGACCTTGGAATACGGCTGATCTATGGTGTTCAGAAGTCTACTGCACTGTAATTTATTAAGTTCCTTTTCTGTTATCTTTTTATTTTTATATACATTTATATCTTGTTATCTCGCTCTTTCTTAAACAGTATCTTTATTTTGTTGCCTTGTTATCTTCCTTTTCTGTTATCTTGACTTTTGACTCTAGAGTGTTTTTTTTACATAAGAAGTACTCCTGCTTAATATATTTATCAACTGACAGTAAATTTTTGATGAGGTGATTAGTACAATCTGTTTCTTGCAGCACCTGAAATTTATTAGAAAAAGTGAATAACATTTATTTTAGATATTTTGGGCTTGATAAAATAAACCATTTTTATTGCCTTTTGTTGCTTTTGATGCCTTTCAGATATGTGCGTTGTGTTGAGCTTCAGATATTACTGGCAAGGGCAAACTATGGTTAAGGTTATGTAATAACTGCTTTAATACTGGAATGAATAATAGGAGAGGTTTTGCAAAAATGAGTTGAAAAAGTGCATTAGATATCTTCATAGCTGAAAAGCACTATTATAAATGTAAGGTCACCACTATTCCCTTGAGTTTTTCTGTAAATGTGTTTGCTTAATACTGCTTGATAAATCTGTACGCTTATTCAAGCAGAACATGTGGCTATTCAGAGAATATGATCTGACTTGTAAAGGAAACATTGTTTTTCACCACACTATGCTTTTGCACAATATGCTTTAAGCATTTTTTTGCAGAGTTCTACTTGCAGTAGTTACGCAGATTGTATGTCAATGTAGAAAATTGTTGGGAATTCTGGCTGGAGATTTGCCAGAAAAGTAGAGCTCTCAAGAGCTCCTGCAGGTTTTGAGAGAGAGGTGACAGATCCTATTAAAGATGCTGTTAGCGCTCCCACAAGATGAAGGACTGCAGTAGGAGGAACTGCATATTGCCCCGAGCATCCTACTTGTAAGTGGTGTGGTCAGAACCTGCCCCTTCTTCCAGAAGGTGCCGGGGTCCAGCTGTGTTATACAGAGCCATTGAATACCAGGCTTTGTTGTTCTGTGGCTATGTTCATGTTTTCAGTTACTTATACAGGTACAAATCTTTACTGAAAACTCTACTTACAGTTGTAGTCTCAAACTAAATCTCACAGTTGGCTGAGGTGTACGTTAGGGACAGTCCTTACCCCCACTCTTTATTATGTGTTTGGGTATCAAATGGAATTCCAAGTATGCTTTTTTTTTTTCCCCCAGTAAATACAGATTAGTTCTTATACCTCTACCTAAGTAGAGCAGTTCTGTTATTTTATATGACACTAAAAGGTTTCTAAAGTTAATTAATAAAATCAATGATGCAGTTTCCTGCTTTTGTCTTTATGGTCAAAACTAATCAATGCATCAGAGAAGTTAATATCTTCATTTCTTTTATGTTGTGTGATCAAAAAGAACCTTAAAGAGCTGCCTCTCCTTCTCGCCAATAAACATTTTAATGCTTCTTCTGTCAATAATCCTGATAACATTATTGCACTTGTTTTCAATACCAGCTACAAACACTGGGGGGGGGGGGAAAATTCTCTAACCCTTTCCCTTCTTTCCTGTCTTCCTAATGGTATTTTGGTTTCATCACAGTGAAAACAAAGGGAAGATGGGGATTAGTGCAGACAGGGTCAGTGGAAGTGCCTGCTTCCTTTTGAATGATGTTAGCTTTCCTTGAAGAGGGTGTGCTTGGGTGAGGGGTCCTTGCTGTCCCACCACCTACTCTTTTGTGCTGACATGATTCCTTGGGGAGCTCTTCACAGAAGAAAAGACTGAAACAGTGTGTTGAGAGAAAGTTTTGAAGAAACTAATGCCTGTAAACACTGTCTTGGACAATACATTTTAATAAAAGGCTGGCTCTTTGATTATTATGGGACTTCTTGTTGCCTTGTGGTGCAGCATAATTATTTCCCAGCTCTTGCTGTGTAGCTCATTAGAAGCAGCTGTTAGAAAAGGCAGTCCTTAGCTGCTGGAGCTAACTGTGCTGGAAGGGCTCCAGAGCTGCTGTTTTTGAAGAGCTGTAGCAAGTAAGAAAGACGTCTGTGTTGGGACTTCTCCTCTGGGAGTGGTGAGAGAGGAGAAGGTTCAATGTTGTTTGGTTTCCTGTTCTGGGGTGGGGGATATCTAGAAGAAAATGCAGGTGAGATTTCCTAGCTCCTCCTCACCTGGAAGGGAAGTAACAGCCTGAAGGTGAGAGAGGTAGGAGTTAGGGCAGCCTAGTCTGTGGAGAAATGGGTAATCCTCTGGCCTTCCCAAAGCTTGCTTTGCTTCCACGTGTGGCTAAGCTCTACCTAAGTGGAAAGGATCTGGATTCAAAAATGACTCTTCTCTTGGCTTCGCTCATAAAAGAGCGTTCTGGACAATGCTTGGTACTGCTAGCTGAGTATACCTGCAGTGTGTGGGAAAAATGTGAATACAAATTATCTGAGTTTCCATGCCTATCTAATCCTCCAAAAGTTTTGCGAAACCGGTTGTTCTCTGTTGCATACAACTTAAGATACTCCCTCTGGAAAGGGAATGAAAGCATTCTTTCCCTGCTGTGCTTTTGGCCTTAACCAATGAGGGGATTCCTTGCCTTATGTCAAGAATATTTTAAAACTGGTTAAATATCTTTGGGATTAAATGACTATTATGACTACTCTCTTCTTCATCCTATTAGGATTGGCATTGTCTCCTAAATAATTGTGGGGAATAAAGTCCTCAGTTTTTTAAACAAATTTTAAATGCATTTTATAGAAAAACAAGCGTGTCTTTCTAATGCTTTCATCACCCATCTTTTTTTTGCCAGTCATACAGATCTCTTTGAAAAGTGTCTTTGAGTAACAATTCCACTATATTATTGCTTTGGTGGTATCATATTCTATTGTGCATAGAGGTTAAGTTGCTGTTATACTTGGCTGTATACCACCACATACTGAAGAAATTCTATCCTAGAGATTTAACTGTAGAGGGTATGTCCTTCAATAACTCTCTGTGGGAATTCACTTTTTTTTTCAGTTACTAAATAATGTTCTCCGTCTCCTAAATGTTTATTTAGCTGCTTTTCATTCAGACTCTCTGTGATAATTACTTGACTGGATTAGTCACTTATGGAAACATTCTGTTCAGCCTTTTGACGTTATGATCTCAGAAGGTGGTGCTTCTGTGGAGTATAATTACCTGGTAGCAAAGTTGATACTGTCTTTGGTGCCAAACAATTGCAATTCTGTCTTTACTTCTCACACTTCCTTGTTATACTGTCCCCTAACTCGATGAATATATGCATTAACTAAGTACTCAGAGCTTCTTCATTCACTGTTGACTCAAAGTGACATTTGCACTATCAGTCTGTTTGTCAGTTTTCCTG